GCAATACTGGTCTGGGTGAGCCCGGTCCTGGTGGCAGCCAGTCCCGGGATGGGGGACTCAAGTATGCACCAGGTCCTCTCAGCCTCATCGGAGGCTGCAGCAGCTGTGGTAGCAGCAGCAGCCACAAGCCCCAGGGACTGCTGACTCAAGTCCACACCTGGTCCTCTGAGCCCCAGCAGAGGTGGCTGCAGTGGATGCAGTTGTGGCAGCGGTAGCCACCAGGCCCAGGGACCACTGACTCAAGTTCACACTGGGTCCTCTCAGGCATGAGCTGGCAGTGGCTGCCACTGGTCCCAGGACCATGGGCTTGGGTCCATACCTGTGGCTGCCTAGTCCCAGCAATTGTCCCTTAAGTCCCTTTATTGTGTTTGAATGCTGTTATCAGTCCCTTCCCGTCTCGCAGCCATGAGTCTCCAAGCTATTGCTGGTCCCCAAGCACAGGGCACTTTCACATTGGGTTATTACTTTCCAATGGCTCACTTCTGGTGGCTCCCTCCCACTTCTGTTTATCTGCTGATGTCTGTCCCTGAACTCCAAACTCCTTTGTACCTCTGCACTGATGATCTTCTGCCCCTGCAGAGATCCAGAAGTGTATACTCTTACATCTCAGGCTGATTTCATGGGTGTTCAGCATGCTCTGGTAGATATCTAGCTCAATTCAGGGGACTTGTTTAAATAGGGTCCCCTACTCCTCCACCATCTTGCCCCTTCCCAAGGCAGCTGACCTTTAAAACTATAGGTTTTAAGCTCTGCTGGTTGCCAGAACTCACAGAAATCAGTCCCTCTCATTTTACAAGCCAGTGGATTTGGGGAAATATTGTCCTTGTGTGTTCCCCTGTGTGCTCCTCTCCCTCACCCTCCTCCAAGATCATAGCACCCTCCCCTCCACAGTAGCCTCAATCTTTTTCTCCATTAAACCACATCTCTCCACTTCCTACCTTCTTTTTTTTTTTTTTTAAGATTTTATCCATTCATCTGACAGAGAGAGATCACGAGTAAGCAGAGAGGCAGGCAGAGAGAGAGGAAGCAGGCTCCCCACTGAGCAGAGAACCCAATGTGGGGCTCAATCCCAGGACCCTGAGATCATGACCTGAGCTGAAGGCAGAGGCTTTAACCCACTGAGCCACCCAGGCACCCCTCCATTTCCTACCTTCTTCAATGTGGCCTCTTCTCTCTCTTTAACTGTGGAGTTTGGTTCTATTAGTCTTCAGGCCAATTTCTGGGGTATTTAGGGTGATTTCATAGTTATCTAGTCGTGGTCTTGGGATGAGATGAGCCCAGGATCCTCCTACTCCTCCACCATCTTTGATGTCTCCATGATGAAGCTTCAATAATTATTTTTTAATAAGTAATTTCCACAAAATAGGCTGGTTGAACATGTTAATTTTTTTAAAAAAGATTTATCTATTTATTTGAGATAGAAAGAGACTGAGCTAACAGAGGGAGGGGCAGAAGGAGAGATATAGTCCTCACAGAGCACAGAGCCCGACCACAGGGCTCGATCCCACGACCCTGAGACTATGACCCAAGATGAAATCAAGAGTCAGATGGCCAACAGACTGAGCCACACAGGTGCCCCAAACATACTAATTTTTGAACACTTCAGTATACATGCTAACTGCATACCCAACAGATAATAGAATAAGAATATGCTCAACCTGATGAAATGTGAAAATCTTTGTTAATACACTTAAAATTGTAATAACCTTTGGTTTTTTAAATAAATAATACAAAGTTAAGTGTTCTCCTAGCTTTAGAATTCATTTGAAAATGAAGCTGTATCTAATATATAAGATATACAAGTTTTACTAGTAAGCAATTAACATACACAATAACCAATTGAAATAACCAACTTCCACTTGTCTGCTCTTAATTTCTAATACTACACTTTCTTAACAAGCATAGAAAATATCAAACCTCTCTCCAGAAAAAAAGTATTGTTCTTTGACACTCTTTAAAGAAAAGCAGTCTGAGCCTATGGCCCTTTATAGAAAAATATCCTGAGCCTGTGACAAGTTAATGCAGTTGACGGGAAAAGCATTTTATTACATATTACACCTTCAAGTTAAAAAAAAAGAAAGAAAGAAAGAAAAAAACCCTCCCTCAAAGCAGATTAAACATTACTATAAAACCATCAACCGCCTATAGTAGCTCTACTGGAGAATCAAGCTTTAAAGACAAATTTCTTATAGCAGAGAAAACCACTGTGAAGGCATATTAACTACCTTTATGGCTTGAATGTGTGCTATGCCTCAGGATTATGTATAGGTTATATTAGTTACCAGAACTGTTGCGCAGAGTTTTAACTTGATTATCACTGAGAACATAACAGAGGTACTCTCAGCCCATGCAAAATAAGTGAAAATATTGAGTCACTGTGCTGAATGTTTCATTTTTGGAGAAAACTAAAGAGAACAGTAACCAAATTAAATACAAAAGATGGCTGAACTCACTCTCCTTAAAGATTCCTGAGCACGTGATGTCTGAGGCATAACTTTATCCATTAAATCTGTGTGCCCATATTACCATCTGGGATATATGTCATCACAATGGTTTAAATCTTTTGAGTATTATTCATATATTCCTACCTACCCATTCTCTACACTTCTGAAAAGATTTTACCTACAGTAAGATATTTTAGTAACAAAGTGCTAATGTGTATCTTTCTAAATGGAACTTATATGGACTGAAAGTAGAGATTGTTTTTTAGCAAATATAAAATATGCAAGCAGAAAAGTAGGAAAATGTCATTCAAGTGTACAGTAGAAAACTAAAAATTGACGATTTTTAAAAACCTATGAAGTGGCTTCAAACAAATATGCATTATGCAGGTGGAACAAGTAGGCAAATGACATTCAAGTGTATTCTAAAAAAATGACCATTTAAAAAAAGTTATGAGCTGAGGAGTCAAGATGGCGGAGAAGTAGCAGGCTGAGACTACTTCAGGTAGCAGGAGATCAGCTAGATAGCTTAACTAAAGATTGCAAACACCTACAAATCCAATGGGAGATCGAAGAGAAGAAGAGCAGCAATTCTAGAAACAGAAAGTCAACCACTTTCTGAAAGGTAGGACCGGCGGAGAAGTGAATCCAAAGTGACAGGAAGATAGACCGCGGGGGGGAGGGGCCGGCTCCCGGCAAGCGGTGGAGCAAGGGAGCAAAATATCAGGACTTTTAAAAGTCTGTTCCACTCAGGGACATCGCTCCAGAGGCTAAACCGGGGTGAAGTCCACGCAGGGTCAGCGTGGCCTCAGGTCCCACAGGGTCACAGAAGGATCGGGGGTGTCTGAGTGTCGCAGAGCTTGCAGGTATTAGAATGGGGAAGCCGGCTACAGAGACAGAGATGAGGAGTGAGCTCTCAGCTTGAGGTTACCTTGAACCGGTCGCAGGCCCGGTCAGCTCGGAGCGCAGCCAGAGGCCAGGGTGATGGGAGTAATTGGGCGCTGTTCTCTGAGGGCACACTGAGGAGTGGGGCCCCGGGCTCTCGGCTCCTCTGAGCCAGAGACTGGGAGGCCGCCATCTTCATTCCTGTCCTCCAGAGCTCTACGGAAAGCGCTCAGGGAACAAAAGTTCCCGAAAGCAAACCCGAGCAGATTACTCAGCCTGGCCCCTGGTAAGTAGGAGCAATTCCGCCTGGGGCAAAGACACTTGAGAATCACTACAACAGGCTCCTCCCCCAGAAGATCAACAAGAAACCCAGCCAGGACCAAGTTCACCTACCAAGGAGTGCAGTTTCAATACCAAGGAGAGCAGCGGAATTCCAGAGGAGGAGAAAGCAAAGCACGGAACTCATGGCTTTCTCCCCATGACTCTTTAGCATTGCAGTTAATTTAATTTTATTTTCTTTTTCAATTTTTTTTTCTCTTCTTCTGCTAAATTTTTTTAACTTTTACCCTTTTCTTTTTTAACATTTTTTTTAACTAGTTTATATAATATATATATTTTTTTCCTTTTTATATTTTTTCTTTATTCGTTTTCTTTTTAATTGTTTCGTTTTTTTTCTTTCTGAACCTCTTTTTATCCCCTTTCTCTCCCCTCACGATTTGGGATCTCTTCTGATTTGGTGAAAGCATATTTTCCTGGGGTTGTTGGCACCCTTTTAGTATTTTACTTGCTCCTTCATATACTCTTATCTGGACAAAATGACAAGGCGGAAAAATTCACCACAAAAAAAAGAACAAGAGGCAGTACCGAAGGCTAGGGACCTAATCAATACAGACATTGGTAATATGTCAGATCTAGAGTTCAGAATGACGATTCTCAAGGTTCTAGCCGGGCTCAGAAAAGGCATGGAAGATATTAGAGAAACCCTCTCTGGAGAGATAAAAGCCCTTTCTGGAGAAATAAAAGAACTAAAATCTAATCAAGTTGAAATAAAAAAAGCTATTAATGAGGTGCAATCAAAAATGGAGGCTCTCACTGCTAGGATAAATGAGGCAGAAGAAAGAATTAGCGATATAGAAGACCAAATGACAGAGAATAAAGAAGCTGAGCAAAAGAGGGACAAACAGCTACTGGACCACGAGGGGAGACTTCGAGAGATAAGTGACACCATAAGATGAAACAACATTAGAATAATTGGGATTCCAGAAGAAGAAGAAAGAGAGAGGGGAGCAGAACGTATATTGGGGGGAATTATTGGAGAGAATTTCCCCAATATGGCATAGGGAACAAGCATCAAAATCCAGGAGTTTCAGAGAACCCCCCTCAAAATCAATAAGAATAGGTCCACACCTCATCACCTAATAGTAAAATTTACAAGTCTTAGTGACAAAGAGAAAATCCTGAAAGCAGCCCGGGAAAAGAAGTCTGTAACATACAATGGTAAAAATATTAGATTGGCAGCAGACTTATCCACAGAGACCTGGCAGGCCAGAATGAGCTGGCATGATATATTCAGAGCACTAAACGAGAAAAACATGCAGCCAAGAATACTATATCCAGCTAGGCTATCATTGAAAATAGAAGGAGAGATTAAAAGCTTCCAGGACAGCCCGCCCTCTTCCCCTGCAGTCAGATCCGGAGCGGTCTGCAAGCTCCTAATTGTTGCTCCAGGTTCTTTGAGGTCTGCGCGTTCGTTCTCAGCACTCTGCAAGGCTAGAAAAGGAGGAGGAATCTGTTCAGAATCCCTGCAGGACAGGAGAAGGAGGGGGAAATCTCAACATGGAAAAACTCTGCAGTGAAAATGATGGAATGACTGAGAACGAAGAAAAGATGGAATACAAAGAACAGTCACAGGATGCGGGAAAGCCGGAAGTAGCCTGTACTATGGAAAACAAGGAAAAGTTAGAAAAAGAGACAATGACAGAAGATGAGGAAATACTAAAGGATAAAGAAAAGCCAGAGAGTATGACAAAGCCAAAAGATGGAAACCCGGAGAGCGAGGGAGAGCGGGAGAGCGAGGAAGAGCCGGAGAGCGAGGCAGAGCTGGTGATGGAGGCAGTGCCCGTGAGCGAGGGAAAGCCGGAGAGCGAGACAGTGCCGGTGAGCGAGGGCAAGCCGGAGACGGAGGCATTGCCAGTGATGGAGGCAATGCCAGTGAGCGAGGGAAAGCCGGAGAGGGAGGCAATGCGGGTGAGCGAGGGAAAGCCGGAGAGCGAGGCAGAGCCGGTGATGGAGGCAATGGCGGTGAGCGAGGGAAAGCCGGAGAGGGAGGCTATGCCGGTGAGCGAGGGGAAGCCGGGGAGCGAGGCAGTGCGGGAGAGCGAGGCAGTGCGGGTGATGGAGACAATGCCGGTGAGCGAGGGAAAGCCGGAGAGCGAGACAATGCCCGTGATGGAGGCAGTGCCGGTGAGTGAGGCAGTGCCGGTGAGCGAGGCAATGCCGGTGAGCGAGGCAATGCCGGTGAGCGAGGCAATGCCGGAGAGGGAGAGAAAGCCAGAGAGCAAGGCAATGCCGGTGAGCAAGGGAAAGCCAGAAAGCAAGGGAAAGCCAGAAAGCGAGGGAAAGCCAGTAATCGAGGCAAAGCCAGTGAATGAGGGAAAGCCAGAAGAAGGAGGAAAACCAGTGGGTGAGGGAAAGCCAAAAGAAGAAGGAAAACCAGTGAATGAGGGAAAGCCAGTGAATGAGGAGAAGCCAAAAGAAGAAAAGCCAGCCATCGAACCAAGGGTTGCAGGAAAGTGCCCAGCTGCGGATGATGTACCCAGGAAGGCTAAAAGAAAAACCAACAAGTGGCTGGCTCAGTGTCTCAAGGAATATAAGGAGGCCATACACGATATGCATTTGAGCAATGAGGAGATGATAAGAGAATTTGATGAGATGGCCCGGGTAGAGGATGAGGTGAAGAAAACCAGACAGAAATTGGGGGGATTTATGTGGATGCAAAAGTTTACAGGACCCCTTCCACCCGAGGGGCCCAAGGGAACTCAGGGGTGGATGCAGGGCCCCACAGAGGGGCTTTGAAGACATTCCTTTTGTGTAGTGCCCCTGGCAGGCATTTGCCTAGGCCTTGTGCTTTAACCTTATACTAATACTTGCTTTAGCTATCACTCTTGTACCTAACTGCAGCCTTCAATGTTTCAGTAGCAGATTTTTGTCCATTGCATGGAAAAATGTTCATGGCATATTGTAAAATTAAAAAGAAAAAAGTTTGTTGAACCATAAAAAAAAAAAAAAAGCTTCCAGGACAAACAAAAACTGAAAGAATTTGCAAACAAACCAGCTTTACAGGAAATATTGAAAGGGGTCCTCTAAGCAAAGAGAGACCCTAAAAGTAGTAGATCAGAAAGGAACAGAGACAATATACAATAACAGTCACCTTACAGGCAATACAATGGCACTAAATTCATATCTCTCAATAGTTACCCTGAATGTTAATGGGCTAAATGCCCCAATCAAAAGACACAGGGTATCAGAATGGTTAAAAAAACAAAACCCATCTATATGTTGCCTACAAGAAACTCATTTTAAACCCGAAGACACCTCCAGATTTAAAGTGAGGGGGTGGAAAACAATTTACCATGCTAATGGACATCAGAAGAAAGCAGGAGTGGCAATCCTTATATCAGATCAATTAGATTTTAAGCCAAAGACTATAATAAGAGATGAGGAAGGACACTATATCATACTCAAAGGATCTGTCCAACAAGAAGATCTAACAATCTTAAATATCTATGCCCCTAACGTGGGAGCAGCCAACTATATAAACCAATTAATA